TCATATTTTTCATTTTAATAAGAAAATAAAGGGGCCCAAACGGGGGCTTAATTGATGGTATAGAATATATTAAGTGAACATTTGGTAGGACTTTTAATTCTAGGAAAATATTTTCTTGAAATAGTTATCTTGAGTCAATTTCTTTAAAATTTGTTTTAGTCTGATAACCCATACCTAACTTTTGACTTTTCAAAAATTCTAACCAATATGCCCTAATTGACAGCATATTTTATCGCATGTTAAAAAAAAAATGGTTTAGTTATACTTTAATGTAAGCTTAACATGTTTGTGTTAGTGACCTTGAACTAATTATGTCTGTCCTATGAAATTGCAGCGGTGGTGGGAAATGGATTCATCGCCAAAGGCATCACATTTGAGAACTACGCCGGTCCAAGCAATCACCAAGCTGTGGCGCTAAGGAGCAGCGCAGATTTCTCCGCCTTCTACCAATGCAGCTTCGTCGCATATCAAGACACACTCTACGTCCATTCCTTCCGTCAATTCTACCGCGAGTGCGACATTTACGGCACAATCGACTTCATCTTCGGCAACGCGGCTGTCGTCTTCCAAAACAGCAATCTATACGCGCGTAGACCTAACGCCAATCAAAGAAACATATATACTGCCCAAGGAAGGGAAGATCCGAACCAAAACACTGGGATTTCAATCCTCAATTGCAAAGTCGCCGCAGCCGCCGATTTGATTCCAGTCCAATCCTCGTTCCGAACCTATCTCGGTCGGCCGTGGAGACAGTATTCCAGGACTGTATTTCTTCTGTCATATATTGGTGATCTGGTTGAACCGGCGGGTTGGTTGGAATGGAATGGAACTTTTGCATTGGATACGCTTTATTATGGAGAGTATAGAAATAGAGGACCCGGGTCAAACACGACTGCTAGAGTGAGTTGGCCGGGTTACCGAGTTATAAATAATTCAACTGAAGCGAGTCAGTTTACTGTTGCGAATTTCATACAAGGAGATCAATGGCTGCCAGCGACGAAAATTCCGTTCTATTCCAATTTAACGGCCGTTTGATTTTGTTATTGTGGGCATCAATGGGATGCTAATTTTTTATTATTATTATTATTATTATTATTATTATTATTATTATTATGTGTTATTAGGTGGAGGAATTTTCTGATCCAAGTCTTTAGATATTAATTACTTAATTAAGTACCTAATTTTATAATCATATGTAACTTTATTTTGGATCGATTGGTTATAAACTATGTTGCCACCCAAATTTTCTTTTCTTTCTCCCCTCCCCCCCTCTAATCTTGTCAGTGTTTCGATCACTCTTGCTCTTACATCCCGTGTAAAAGGTAAAATTATTACTCATATTTTAAATTATACTATGTTACAAAATAATTTATCTGTCACACTTTACAAATGATGCCTTTAGCATATGGCTTCCTTTAGATTGCACTCATCATGTAATATACAAGTATGGTCGTGATCTAATATGAAAGAAAAGAAAAGAAAAGAAGAAAAAAAGTTGTATACGACAATGTGAATTATGGTCTGGCCCAAGTGTGCATTTATATTCGGGGCCAGATTAGGATTTAAACAAGTGGAAATTATACCTACACCTGGAATTAGATTTCCAATTTCATAAATAAGATAATAAGTTTAACATTTCAAAAATCAGGTTTTAATTAATAATTTAAAAACATTTTTTATTTTTATATAATTATATCTAATCAAACCCTAATATTAATACGAAGATACCGCCATAAGTCACTCATTTCCACCCTATCTCACTGTTTATTGTTATAGGAAATTACACCTACACCTGGAATTAGATTTCCAATTTCACAAATAAGGTCACAAGTTTAACATTTCAAAAATCAGGTTTTAATTAATAATTTAAAAATATTTTTTATTTTTATTTTTATATAATTATATCTAATCAAACCCTAATATTAATACGAAGAAACCGCCATAAGTCACTCATTTCCACCCTCTCTCACTGTCTCGCCGTCTCCACTCTCTCCACCCCTCTATCTTTCTACCTACCGATCAACACAACCCCAAAGCAGGGACCTCCGCCACCAACAACCCGGGGCAAGCCTAGCCTCTAAACGATCGTCGCCCAACAGCACATCTCCTCCCCGGCGAGAGCTCCCTCGAGATCTCACATCTCTCCCATTCTCCCACGGATCTTGGGTGTGCGTGCGACGTGCGGCGGAGGTGATTGGGTTTTTTTTTGTGCTGTGGTCAGATCTGCACCACCGTGATCCGATATGGATCGATGTCGGCCTCGTGAATTTGAAGTAGGCAGCAGTGCCGTGAATGTGTGATGCTCACGACGCCACTGTAGATCTAATTTTTCCTTTTTTATTTTTTTTAGTTTCGATTTTGATTTTGATTTTGATTTTGATTGGATGGGTATGATGATTTTAATGGTTGATGTTTGTCAGTAGTTGTTGTGGTAGTTTTTCAGTCAAAGGTTGGTTGAATGGTAGATGTTTGTTGTTGGCTATGGCAGACCTAGCGGTTTTGTGCCCACTAATTATTATTTGTGACCTAAAAATTATTAATTGTGACCAATAAATTGATAAATTGTGACCTAAATAAGTATTGTGACTTATAAATTTTGGGATCTGTGACCGATGAACAAATTGTGACTTTTAAATTTCTAAGTTGTGACCAATAAACAAATTGTGACCTATGAAAATTTTGAATTGTGACCAAATTGTATAGATCTGTGACTTTAACATATTCGTCGGAATCGGATTAGTCGTCGGAATGGTTGTCGGAGAAGAGTGATGATCGGAAAGATCGCCAGAATAGCCCCGTAGTTGTAGGGGTGGTGAAGGTGGAAGTGGGTTAATTATTTTATAGTAGAATTAAATATTATTAATAAATTAAATTTATAATTATTATTTCATAATTAAAAATTTAAAGAAACCTAATTTTTGAAATTTAAAATATGTTTTGATATTTTTGAAAATGGTAAAAGTAAATGTCTTATTTATGTATTCTTCCCTTTGAACAATTATCCAATTTAAAATTGAAAATGATCTGTGGACCTGAGCTAGGCCACCGATCCGGTCCAGTTTAAGATTTTGATAACAATTTATATTTAAATTGGTTTATAAATTTAATCAAATTCAATAATTAATTTCAGTTACTTATTAAAAATTATTATTCATTTTTATTCACATATCTTATGGGATTCACAAATTTTCCTCTTTATAAATCATTTATAAATTTGCCCAATGGATACATAATTATTCTTTTACATGCGTAAATTGATACAAATTATTCTTGCAAGTCGTAACACTAGAATTTCTTTAGGTCTTACGTCTGCACTTGCTTGCCCGTAGCTTTCAAATTTGAAAATTTAACTTTGATATAAAATATAGTGGCCAGTTTGAGTGTGTAATGTGAGAAAAAATTGAGAGTATTTTAAGAAGAGATGGATAGACAACCTTTTACTCCTCAAAAACTGGACAACCCTATCCGTTCCATGGTAAAAAATAGACAACCTTTCACTCCTCAAAAACTGGAGAACCCTTTTAGGCATAATCATCGCTAATATTCGATGAACCAAAATTGAAACTAAAATTGGCAAACAATCTTTTATCACTAGATCCTTTGTAGAGAAAACTGAGCTTTCAAAAATAATGTATAAAGTGTTTGTAAATGGTAAGCACATCCATTTACAAACCACAGGGTATTTGCAAAATTTTCTTTCCATTTTTTCTAACAAAAATTGTCATTTAAGAATTCAAGGCCACCATGGCTGATTTCTCAAGAGGATTTAGAGCATGTTTTCTCTTGGGATTGGCCTTGTTGAGTATTGGGGCTGAGTTTGCTCTTCCTGCAGCAGCAGGTGGCCTTGTTCGCGAGACAATTTTTGATGTTACAAAATACGGAGCCAGACCAAATACCAGGAAAGAGAGTTCTATGGTGAGAGATTGTGTGATTTATCATAACAACGATGGAAAAAAGTGTGTAATTTGATCGTCGGGAGATAAATTTATTATTTTAAAACTATGTTTTCAACAAGCATCCATTAGACTGTCTAATGCATGTGTGAATTTTATAAATAGGTAGCGATAAGATATCGAATCCAATTAGACTTGTAAATTGGATGGTGCCGGACCACCCTTAACCCGACATGTCCCCTATGGATCAATGCAGAGTGCAAGATTACATTTTTTAAATACATATGGACATGAGATTCAATCTCGATTGGTATGTTTGGCAAAGCTGTAAGAATAATTTAAGTTAGTCCAATATAATTTTTATTCACTCATTTCATAGGACTCAAGTGGCTCGATTCAATTTTATACATGGCCCCAATATCGACAATATCTTATTGAACTACTTTGAAACAAAACTTCAAAAACAAAAGAATGCCTAGCAGAATTTGTATTATTTATGTGTATAAATATATCTTTATAAATAATATAGGGAAATATATTAATACTAATGTTGAAAATGCAGGCTTTCGTCAGGGCGTGGAATGCAGCATGCAAATCAAATGGACCAGCTCGTCTACTTGTTCCGCGTGGAGACTTTGTCACAGCAGAAGTGATTCTCCAGGGGCCATGCAAGGCGAAACCCCTAACCCTTGAAATTCAGGGCAACATCTTGGCAAGTACCGATCTCAGTCTTTTCACTTCTGGAGCGTGGATCACAATCGATGATATTGACGGCCTTGAAGTTCTCGGTGGAGGAACCATCAATGGCCGCGGAGAGGCTGTGTGGAAGTTCTCGGGCAAACATAATTCTGGCCCTCTTCTTCCCGCGGTAAGTACACCTTTCATTTATCAAGACTTATTTCTATCTTATAAAGTCATTCTCATTAGTAAGAGTAATTCGTACCTTTATATATTATTTATAAGTTTTATGGGGGATGTTACCGATATGATGGCTCACCTGAGTACACAAATTTTAAAATTCGAATTTTCTTTCGAGTTTTGAATGAATCAAATTGCTCGTTGGAGTTTGAAAAAACTTTTATACCATGAGATTCCATCTTAAAAGATCAATTTTATTAAAAAGAATTGTTCAAGCCCTTATATACAGTTGGTTAGTCAACGCTAAATCTATTATTATAACAAGAGTTCTCTAATGTCAAAATTAATTTATTGTTGTGGTGCAGTCTCTTTTATATAGCAAGGTAAAAAATGTGGTCATGCACCACATCAACTTCGTGAATAGCAAAGGTATCCATAGTAAGGTGACTGACAGCAGCAATGTAGCATTCTCATTCATCAAAATTACTGCCCCTGGCAAGAGCCCAAATACAGATGGTTGCCACATTAGTAATTCAACTAATGTCAAATTTACTGATTCAACCATTGGCACTGGCGATGACTGCATTTCTATTGGACATGGCACCTCCAAAATTCTCGTTGCTAGAATCAACTGTGGCCCTGGACATGGCATCAGGTCAATTGAATAAACACACAATTTGTGCTGGTTCGTTTCGTTTCGAGTTGGCTGGTAAATTTTGTTATAACGTGTTTTGCATTTGTGACAGTGTTGGTAGTCTCGGAAAGAGAATGAATGAAGAAGATGTGAAAGGAGTGACCGTGATAAATTGCACACTTACGAGGACAACAAATGGCGCGAGAATCAAAACCTACCACGCTTCACCCCAAATCCAAGCTTCTTCCATTTATTTCCAAGATTTAGTTCTCAATGATGTTAAAAACCCTGTCGTCATAGATCAGCATTACAACTCCAAGAAAGGTGAGGTACGTATTATTAAAATCTATAGTTCCATCTTAAAAGTTCAACTTGTTAAGAGGAGTAGCACAAGTCGTTATTGGACATTTTCAATGAGACCCGCTTCTCTTCAGGTCCAATAATGTCATTTAATTGACACCACTCTAGATAGTGTTGTTAAATGAGTAGTATACTTTCATTTGTTTTGTAGCCATCGAAGGTGAAGATCAGTGATGTCCACTTCAGAAACATAAGGGGTACCACAATTTCGCAAGTTCCGATTCTACTCAACTGCAGTCGAACATTCCCCTGCGAAGGCATTGAATTGGCAAACATTAATTTAGCTGCTTCGGGTCCAATTGGTCCACTTACATCTGCATGTTCCAACGCAAAATTTATATTGAGAGGACATCTAAATCCTCCCGGCCCTACTGGTTGTGTATAGATTTATTATCATAAGCTCGAATATCTGGAAAATCATTTCGACAAACGAAGATTCAATTAAGTGGAAATACCTAACATTCAATACAAGACATTTTTATCTGAAATTTCCTTATTATCCTTGTTGAACATATCCATTTGAATTCGCAGTATACTTGATATTCACGCGTTCGTATAATTTAAAAAGAAACTACTAATATACGATTTTATGTAACGAATTCAAAGTTAGAAAGGAATAGAGCATTCTATCGATCAATTTATTTCAATACACGGGTATCAAACTATTGATGTATGCTAACACAAGCCTCTAAAATGTGTCCATGTATAGATGCCTTCTCTTCTTTGAAGTATATATTCCTAAGTGAATTGAGATGGAAATAGGCATCCCCTGCTTGAAGTTGGAAGGGAATGTGCCATTATATTCATATAACTACTCCACTAGTACCTAAATTGTGTAGACTTCGATTTATTCCCCATTTCCTTGCATCGTTTTTCTATGTATTTGTCACATTCTAGAGAATATACCAAATTATCATCGTTAAAATCACTTTCAAACATTGTTCATTTAAATTTCTTTTCATAATTGACTTTTGGAAAAATATTCTAAGTCTTGTTTCAGATTCTAATCTAAGTTATTGAATCCATGTTGTAAATAATGAAATCCCATTTTTAGATGACAAGCATTAACCAATATACAAAGGGTTGTAGTCTTTAGGAGTAAGTTGAGCTTTAAAAGAAAAAGTTTATAATAACTTAACGTCATAGTAGTTAAAGATCGAATCGCTTTTTAAATAAAAGAAATTATTTTTTTCTTAAACGAGTCTAGAGTGGATTCTTCTCTCTTTTAAGCACAGTGAATTATGGTATGTGACGCTACCAAAAATAGCACCGGGTGAATTTCGAGATTGACGATTGAGAAGGAACACGAACGTGATCTTGTGGTACCTGAAACAAAGACGTCGAGGTATATTCTCGTCGCCTCTCCGATACTAAAGTCAAAGATGGAAGATATAAAAAAGCTTGAATACTGAAATTATCTGAAAAATGTCCCTGAATAATGATCATGGTTTCATATTTATAGAGGTAGGTGGTGCAATCCTATCAGGACTTGACATTTTTACAATTAGGAATTCCAAGTGTGATAAGTATTAGACTACAATTAAAAGTCTAATCATACATTAACTGCAATATCTTCCAAGATCGACTCCTTCTGGACCTAAGATTTTTTTAAATCGGGGTATTTCAATAGACTTAGGACTCCTGGAACGATGAGCCTGATGAAGATACCCTTTGAGTTTGGCTAAAGAAAACGCTCGAGGATACAATGACCATAAATTCCCGAGGACTTCGTCTCCATGTTATCGCAAGTCGTATATTTATAGCCCTCGACATACTCGAGGACTGTACCATGCCCGAGGACATTTGGCCCGTATGTCCCACTCCTCGAGACATTAGAGGACATAGATGCCTATATCAGCATGCAACAATCCCATTTACTTAAATCGTGGCTTTATTTTCTACGTGCAAAATCAGCCCACAGAGAAATAATGAAAAATTAGCAAAATAAAAATATCTTAATCATACGGCATTTGTGTGGTCTCGACTGATTATCCCCCTCCCTCTGTTTCTCACTCTAGATTTTCTCATTGTCTTCATCTCCTTCCTTCAACCCACCTCTTAACTAAGCCCTCTCTAATTTTCAATAACTAGGTCTTTTCTCCTTTCGCCGAATAAGAATCTTTTGATTCTATATTTCAATGAGCTTTGGATTCTGCTTATTTGAATTTTGTTTCTGAACTATAGTTTATTGTGTGTTTCGTTCAGTGCATAGTTTGTGAACAGAACCGATGCTGCGAATTAGAAATGACTTCTGTTTCTTCAATGTCAGGTGCGTTTTACTTTCAGTTCGTGTTGTTGTTGTTGTTGTTATTATTATTATGTTGAGCGAGTGATTTTTTTCGGATTTTTTTTATTAATTTTGTGCGATTAAGAATGTTCACTTCGATTTTGGCAGTGTCCGTAGAATGCTTGAATATATTTAAGTTTTGGAAAGGGGATGTGAGTGGAAAATATGATTGCAGCGTGCTCTCCTGCGCTTCTAAGGCTCCAAGGGCACTTACTGGATTTGTTGCAAGCACCGCGTATCCTTCGCAGCAGTGTGGACGAACTGCAAGAAGAAATCACATTTCATGCGTGAGTATCTACCTTAATTTTAGAGATTTTAAGCATAGGAATTCACCACATGCCTGATATAGAACACATATGTTTCAAAATGCTGTCATGCTATATCTAGCTCACTTGAAATTTAGTAGAAACATGGTAAGTTCATTGTCGCTGTTGTGCTCTCTGTGATGTTGGTCAACTTTCAAGATTTTCCGTTGGAATTGCCATTTTTCTTCTGATTGTAGTGTTGGAGTAATTACATTTATGGAATAATTTAGAAACTTTGAGTCCTAGAACAAATTGTGTTTAAGCTAACCAGTTGATATGATATCAAAGAGGGGATGTGTTTTTGAGTATTGGTAGATTATTTCAAAAAAAATCTTGTTTTCATCAAGTGACTATATTTTAATCGATAAATTTAGATTTAAGATGTTTTTATACATGGGAACATGATGGAGTCCTTAGTGGATTGGATCATGGCTGATGAGTAAGTAAGTTGGCTAATAGATTGAAAGCATGAAAGTGTTCAAATTATATGTTTTGTGTTTATCTTATTATGTGTTTGCTCCTTTCTGTAATTTCTGCTTGTTTATGCGTACTTACATGTCTTTGCGTTGTATGTCTTGCGCTAGATTTTTCATTGAGTTTATGATAGTAGTCATCCTTCCAAAGCTGAACTGTGATCCACAAATATATTATCCGTTATTTCTATTTTAGTCACAAAATACGTTTTTTTTCCACTTCCACTTCCACTTCCATCAGCAGCAAGTGGCCTTTTCTTTTCCAACTTCTCAATCATTCTTTTACTTGTGCCAGAGATTTGAATCTCAAAATTCGGGACGATGGTATTCACATGAAGCCTCAGACTCTGTCCTTCTACAAAAGCTCTTAAGCTCGAGAATGGTTCATTTGACCACTGGCAAATGGAATTTGCTTAGTTTACCATCTTCTTCACAATCATGTGAGGTTTCTCCTGACAGTTTGTGGGAGGTATGTGAAATGACTTATTTGTCATCAGTTGTTCCCATGAAAGTTGTAGCTTGTGAATCTAAGAAACTCCACGCAGCAAAATAAATCTGTCTAAGATAATACGGTAATGATTGCTACAGTGAAATGCTAGAGGTAGCAGGCATGGAAGATAAATTTAGAGAGAGTCAAGTAGATGGTTTGGACACATTCAAAAGATGACTGGTGGATGTGCCTGTTAGGTTGAGTGTCATAATAACCAAAAATATTGAACCTTGAGGAAAGGTAGGACGTAGAATGATGTTGTTAAAAAATGCAATTTCTGGTGAAACTCTAGAGCTAATTGCACTCGACAAAGAAAAAGAATCCATGTAGTTGCTCCGGTTTCAGGGAAAGGCTTGATCTGAACGTGAAAGTGTGAATGATTGCCAAAAATGGAGTAACAACTTCTGGTACTGATGCAATTTTGTTCATTGTATCAGGATCTCAAACCTACCATCTCCTATCTCTCATCAAAAGAATTGAAATTGGTTCGTAATGCCCTGAATGTAAGTTTATTTTGGTCTTCATAAATTCTTAGTTCTAATTTTTGTTACCTTGTAGTTCTTTGGCCTCAATGCTCATTATTTTTCTTATTTCTTGTTTTCATCTGTTTTTCGAATTTACCTTTTATATATATAAATTTTTCGCTCCAGGAAAATATACTGCTGAAAACAATTCTTTTCTGATTCAGCAAGGATTCAGGTGCCAAAGCTTAATTTTATGTCCTTTTCGTTTTTGGCTTTTGTTGAACAGCTGGCTTATGAGGCCCACAATGGTCAAAAAAGACGCAGTGGGGAGCCCTTTATTATTCACCCAGTTGCAGTTGCACAAATTCTTGGAGAACTTGTGAGTTATGCAGATTTATGATTTTTATCCATCTCTTTAACAGATGAGCATTTGTTTTTCTTTAATTACTTGGCACTTGATTTGATTATAACAACCACTTGTACTTAATTTCTGTCATTTCAGGAATTGGATTGGGAGTCAATTGCTGCTGGTTTGTTACATGACACGGTGGAAGATACAAATGTGGTTACATTTGAAAGAATAGAGAAGGATTTTGGTACTACTGTTCGTCACATTGTTGAAGGCGAGACTAAAGTTAGTTTCGTGCACTTAATTCTTTTATAGCTCTTTTCTTTTTCATACTTCATTTTCCTATTTCCCCTTATTCAAATCGATTATGTGATGTTAAGTTGACATTCGTTGTTGAACACTTAATACTCATATGTTATTTGTCTCTGTTACTCCAGGTATCAAAACTTGGGAAACTGAAGTCTAAGGATGAGAATCATTCTGTTCAAGATGTCAAGGCAGATGACTTCCGACAGATGTTTCTAGCCATGACCGAAGAGGTATTGCACTTTGTATGTGTAGATACATTGTAATGGCGTTGTTTCTGTACTACAGCCTCTAACAACAAAGTGTTGGGCGTATCAGGTTCGTGTTATAATTGTCAAATTAGCTGACAGATTGCATAATATGCGCACGCTTTCGCATATGCCTCCACACAAGCAGGTGTATATATTGGAACTTTTGTTCAATTACTATCTGATTCCAATTTGTTCTTAACGGTATCTATTGTGTCCAGTCCAGCATAGCCCTGGAGACACTGCAGGTTTTTGCTCCTCTGGCTAAATTGCTTGGAATTTACCAAATCAAGGTAAGCTATGTACTACTGTGCTGATTGTTATTATGCCCCCGTTTGATCTATATTATTATCTCATTAAAATGAAAAATATGACCGTTATCCATCACATCAACATTTAAATTCAAATTTTCTATCTCTTATGTGGCCCCAATAACGGCTATATTTTTCATTATCATTCTACAATAATTTGGCTCAAACAGGGCCTATATCATCTTGGATATTCACATTATAAAGCTTTTGTATGCTATCTCAATCTACTTATTTGAGATTTACCCTTTATGATTTAAACCTATGAATCAGACGTGCTGTTGACAAATTTCCTAAAACAATACATGTTTGAAATTTAAATCAACCCATTAAATAATTACCATTTTTTAATCACATTATTCCATTTTATTTTAGATTATTATTGTGATTGACGTCCATTTAAGGCTTATAAGATTAGTTTTGAATCAATAAGATGTGTCGTGTTCTGCATTCAATTTTGTATTGTTTCATGTGCCTTCTACAAGGCAATTTCATTGTTGTTTCCCTATACTTAACCAGTGATTGTCATATTGCTCTGTCCCTAAGTTCACTGATTTGCTTCCTTGGGGCTTAAACCCTTTACTAGACTGCATGTGGGTCCCATCAAATCTAGCATTTCCATTTATTGCACATCTGATCTAAGAAGCAAGGATATTTCTGATACCTATAACCTATCTGAGCTTGCATACATCATACCCGTATAGTGTCGTATTCGAATTACGTATCCTAATTCATGCTTCTTGGCCTTTGATTTTTGGATGATGAAAGGTTTTCCTTTTCTTGAATTGTTGAATGTACCATCCTTAAACTTCACTAACGTGGTCACTTGGGAGCTTGAGTATGGATATAGAAAGTAATGAGAGAATCCTGTATTTCTTAATCAAAATATTAACGAGTTACAATGCATCCATATTATATACTGTACAATAGATGGGAATAAGGAAAATAATCTTCTATCTAAAGTAGGTAAAAATACTTCCTAAATATATGATAATTACAATCTTCCCATTTTAATGAAGATATAAACGAGATTTCCTACACTCCCCCTCAAGTTGGATCATAGATATTGATCATATCCAACTTGTAGATGCATTCATCGAATGTTTGTTTCTGTAGTCCTTTTGTGAATACATCTGCAGTCTGCTTTCTAGTAGGGACATAGATCATACATATAGTTCCACCTTCAACTTTTTCTTTGATGAAATGTCTGTCCACCTCTACATGTTTGGTTCTATCATGTTGAATTGGGTTGAGTGAAATGCTGATAGCTGCTTTATTGTCATAATAGAGTTTAATTGGAAATTTTGTTGGAATCTGTAGCTCATTCAACAATTTCTTTAGCCATAGACCTTCACATATTCCCTGAGCAGCTGCTCTGAACTCTGCTTCTGCACTGCTCCTGGCTACTACATTTTGTTTTTTGCTTCTCCAGGTGACTAAGTTTCCCCATACAAATGTACAATAACCAGTGGTTGATCTCCTATCTTTTGTCGCTCCTGCCCAGTCAGCATCAGTATACTTCTATTTCTCTTTTCTCATCCCTTTTGAATAACAGTCCTTTTCCAGGGAACCTTTGAGGTATCTTAGAATTCTGTATGCTGCTTCTAGATGGGTTTCCCTTCGAGTATGCATGTGTTGGCTTACCACACTTACTGCAAATGCAATGTCCGGTCTAGTATGGGACAGGTAGATTAATTTTCCCACTAGTTTTTGGTATCTCTCTTTTTCAACAAATTTCTCCGTTTTCCTTCCAGTGTCCATAGGAGTATCACATGGTTTAAACCCAAGCGTACCGGTTTCAGTAAGGAGGTCTAGGACATACTTTCGTTGTGACACACTGATTCCCTTATTCGATCTAGCCACTTCCATTCCTAGAAAATATTGCATTTGTCTCAGGTCTTTCACTTCGAACTCTGCAACTAATCCTCCCTTTAGCCTCTCTATCTCAACTGTATTATCTCCAGTGAGAATTATGTCGTCAACATAGACAATCAGGACAGTCTTTGTCCCATCTTCAAATACCCTGAAAAATATAGTGTGATCCGATTGTCCTTGTTGGTATCTTTGCCTTTTCAACACGTTTGCAAATCTGTCAAACCATGCCCTAGGCGACTGTTTGAGTCCGTATAGAGATTTTTTCAATTTGCATACTTTATTTCTTTCATTCTCTTCTGAAAATTCAGGTGGTAGCATCATATAGACTTCTTCCAACTTCCCATTTAGAAATGCATTCTTAATATCAAGTTGTTGGAGTGGCCAGTCCATATTTGCTGCTAGTGATAGGAGAACCCGAACTGTATTCAGCTTTGCAACTGGTGCGAATGCTTCCGTGTAATCTATGCCATAGGTTTGAGTATATCCCTTTGCAACCAGACGAGCTTTATACCAATCTATTGTTCCATCTGCTTTGTATTTCACATTAAACACCCATTTACACCCAACAAGTCTCTTTCCTCTAGGTAGTTCCATCACATCCCAGGTTTTATTGGCTTCTAGTGCTTTCATTTCATCCATTACCGCTTTTCTCCACTTGGGAATTTCCAAGGCCTCTTGAACGTTTCTTGGAATTCCTGTGCTAGCCAGGTTAGACACAAATGTTCGAAATTGGGGAGATAGAGTATTATAAGTAACAAATTTTGAGATAGGGTGAAGAGTGCATGACCGAGTTTGTTTCCTGAGGGCAATAGGTAGATCATCAGTGCTTGGGAAAAACTCACGAAGATTTGGAGCTATCACTGGTTCCAACTCTCTTGGTGCTTCGAGTGTGAGGTTCCCTTTCTCCTTTGATTTTGGCTTCCTTGAGTAAACAATAATCTCTTTGTCATGTTGTTCTTTCTGTTCTCCCCCTGAGTTTAAGTCATCTTCTGTAAATGGCATGTTAGATTCTGTGTTTGGGATAGAGTTGAGGGTACCAAGATCAAGAGGTATTGTAAAGAACCGATCTTCATTTTCACTTAGGATTTCCCCCTGAAGAGAGGTTTTTTTGAAGTAGGGTCGTGTTCGAAGAAAGTGACATCGAAGCTTACAAATATTTTCTTTGTGATCGGGTCATAGCATTTATACCCTTTTTGTATAGGTGAATAACCAATGAATACACATTTAATTGCTCGAGGTTCAAGTTTGGTACGAAGATGAGAATCTATGTGGACAAAGGCCATACAACCAAACAGTTTAGTGGTAGGGCGGAGGTGAGGTGAGTGTTGTGGAAAAAATTCTGGAATTTTTGGAGAGGAATTTCAAAATTGAGAGTGCGACTGGGCATTCTGTTTATAAGGTAGGCAGATGTTAGAATAGCATCGCCCCAAAAAGTGATGTGCATAGTTGTAGTGAACAGTAAGGCCCGAGCTACCTCAAGTAAGTGCCTATTTTTGCGTTCAGCCACCCCATTTTGTTGGGGAGTATCAACGCAAGAACTCTGATGAATTATTCCATGTTCTTGGAGATAGGTTCTTAGTGTACTATTGAAATATTCCGTGCCATTGTCTGTACGCAGAATTTGAATTTTTGTGTGAAATTGAGTTTGGACCATGGAGTGAAAATTCATGAACACAGAACGAACATCAGTTGTCTTTAAGCATATAGACCCAACAGAGTCGAGTATGGTCGTCGATAAATGTGACAAACCATTTTGCGTGGATACGATTAGGGATGAGAGGACCCCACAGATCACTGTGAATTAAGGTAAATGGCCAGATGGTTTGTACACAGATTTTTTGAATGACGAACGATGGTGTTTTGCAAGTTCACAAAAGTCACACTTCATATCAAAAAATGTTTTATTCGAAAATAATGAAGGAAATACGTGGTTTAGATATTGAAAATTGGGATGACCCATTCTAAAATGCCATAAAAGAATTTCATTATGCTTAGGAAAAGAAACAGAATCACAACTAGCAAATCGACGTTGTGGACTCACATTCGCCTCGTCAAAGTAGTAAAGTCCCTCACTCTTTTTAGCACTGTCAATCGGCTTCCCTGCAAATCGACGTTGTGGACTCACAGCAGTCTCGTCAAAGTAGTAGAGTCCCTCACACTCTCTAGCACTGCCAATCGTCTTCCCCGATGATAGGTCCTGAAAGATACAGTAAGACGGAAAAAAATGAGCAGAGCAATTTGAACTCTTTGTTAATTGATTGATGGACAATAAATTATACTATAGATTCGGGACATGGAGAACATTTTTGAGTGTAATTAAAGTAGAGATTTGAATACTCCCTTTTCCAGCTACTGGAGAGAGAGAGATCTATCTGCAATTTTAACTTTAAGGTTGCCAGCACAAGGTGAGTATGACACAAATAGTTGGTGTGAATCCGTCATGTGATCAGACGCACCAGAATCGATAATCCATGATATTTTTTGCAAATCGACGTTGTGGACTCACAGTAGTCTCGTCAAAGTAGTAGAGTCCCTCACACTCTCTAGCACTGCCAATCATCTTCCCCGATGATAGGTCCTGAAAGATACAGTAAGACGGAAAAAAATGAGCAGAGCAATTTGAACTCTTTGTTAATTGATTGATGGACAATAAATTATACGATAGATTCGGGACATGGAGAACATTTTTGAGTGTAATTAAAGTAGAGATTTGAATACTCCATTTTCCAGCCACTGGAGAGAGAGAGATCTATCTGCAATTTTAACTTTAAGGTTGCCAGCACAAGGTGAGTATGACACAAATAGTTGGTGTGAATCCGTCATGTGATCAGACGCACCAGAATCGATAATCCATGATATTTTTTAGACACAGTAAGATGGAAAAAAATGGGCAGAACAATTTGAACTCTTTGTTAATTGACTGATGGACAATAAATTACACGATAGATTCGAGACATAGAGAACATTTTCGAGTGTAATTAAAGTAGAGATTTGAATACTCCCCTTTCCAGCCACTGGAGAGAGAGAACCATCTGCAATTTTAACTTTAAGGTTACTAGCATAAGGTGAATATGACACAAATAGTTGGTGTGAATCCGTCATGTGATCAGACGCACCAGAATCGATAATCCATGATATTTTTGAGAGTAAGGTGGTGTTAAGACCTTTTAGGATATTACCTCTGTGAGCCAAAGAGCTTGAAGAGCTAGGTGATTGTAAATTTGAGAACATTTGTTGAAGTTGGTCTAGTTGTGCAGGACTGAATGCACCGCTGGGAGTGGAATTTTGTGTCTCAGTGGAGTGGACTGCGGCTTGGTAAATGGAATTTCTAGTGTTTTGCCGTGGCTTCCAATCAGATGGTTTTCCATGCAAATCCCAGCACGTATCCTCTTTGTGGCCCGGTTTCCGACAGTGGTCGCACCATGGACGACCCGTTTGTTGTCTTGGGCTGGGCAAATTTTTTTGTACCTCTAACCATCTGGGCTCCAGAATCAGGCCTAAAAGATTTTTGCCCATTATTGAAATTTCTCCTCATATTAGCAGTAGCCCCTGTAGGCCCAATTTCACTCAATCCAGCAGGCCCATTATAATGGGACAAAGGATTAAATCCAGTAGGCGCATTTGTGTTAGATAATAGGGCAGATCCGTCAATTGCAGGCCTAAAACGCTCCTTCTTCAACATGATTAGACGCCGATTCTCCTCGCGGCGCACGTTGGCGAAGGCGTCTTGAGTGGAGGGTAGTAGCCGACGGATGAGAACCCTTCCTCTGACGTCGTTGAGCTCCCTGTCTAGCTCAGCCAAAAATTCAAACAATCGTTCATTCTCCACCCTCTTCTTGTATCGAACACCATCTGTAGGGCAATCCCACTGTTCATCTGTACTTAGGTCTAATTCTTGCCATAAAGAAGACATCTCCATATAGTACTCAGTCACACTTCGTTCTCCTTGCTTTGCCCTCCAAAGTTTGGTTTTAATTTCAAAAATCTGTGATGAATCTTCTGTGTCAGAGTACATCTCTCGAACACTATCCCAAATATCCTTCGCAGTGGCCATGAAGAGATAGATTTTGCTGATTGCTGGCACCATGGAGTTTACGAGCCAGGACATAACCATCGAGTTCTCAGATTTCCACTTCTGGAGATGGGTTGGGTCAGTGGGTTGCTTCGTATCGCTGGTAAGATACCCGATTCTTCCTTTCCCTTCTACTATGAGCTTAATGGGTTGTGCCCATTCTCTATAATTTTTTCCATTGAGTTTCTCGACTGTGAGTTGAAAGGAGGAATTATCACCTCCAATTGACGTCATGGTGTGAACGGATTCAGTCTCACTGATTTCGGATTCAACTGACATTGAGTTTTGATGGTCGGCAGTTTCTGCCATTGATTCCTGGTTTTGAGTTTACCCGTGCTCTGATACCATATAGAAAGAAATGAGAGAATCCTGTATTTCTTAATCAAAATATTAACGAGTTACAATGCATCCATATTATATACTGTACAATAGATGGGAATAAGGAAAATAATCTTCTATCTAAAGTAGGTAAAAATACTTCCTAAATATATGTAATCCTATATTTCTTAATCAAAATATTAACGAGTTACAATGCATCCATATTATATACTGTACAATACACGGGAATAAGGAAAATAATCTTCTATCTAATGTAGGTAAAAATACTTCCTAAATATATGCTAATTACAATCTTCCCATATTAATGAAGATATAAACGGGATTTCCTACAGTGGACATACTAGATCTATAGGGAATGGCTGTTAATTTATGATGCTCGGACTCTGGTACGGGTATCGAGTACGGGTACGTATCTAAGTGTCGGATCTTTTATTTCTTTAAATGTAGGATACGGGGATATAGCTAAAAAGAGTCCAAATTTTGGATAAGGGTACGTCTTTCAAACTTCAATTTTTTTACTAATTCAGGATGTCATTTTGAATAGACCAAAATTAATTATTCACAATGAAGGAAATGAGTATTTAATAAGGGGTTAACAAATAAAATAGAATTCTGGAGTTTAGTTTTCAATAATGAGAATTATTAAATTTCATATAAAATAGAAAATGAGGAACTAGATTGTAATTTGGATTTAGTGGAGCACTAAATAGCACTATAGGGAACCAATTTTTCATTTTATACAAACAAAACCCTAAACCACCTATGTAGAGAGAGAAAGAAGGAAAAAAAAATAGAAAGAAAAAAGAAAGAAGAAGAAAAAGAAGGGAAAATTTAGCGTCGCCTTCTTTCTTCACCCTCTCGGCGACGACACTAGGTTTATAGAGAGTAAAAGTGAGAAAGAAGAAAAGGAAAAGAAAAAAAAGAAGGAAGAAGAAGAAGCAAAAACGACGAAGTGTCCGGTTGAAACTTGGAGGATCCGACACATATCCCATACCCATACTTATGTCGTGTCGTGTCCGACACGGGTACTCCAACTATTTCGAAGAGTCCAAGCATCATAGCTGTTAATCTCCTTCACCATTTAATTTTTATGCTAAACAATTTTTGTATTCTCCTGTGCTAAATGCATAGTAAGTAATTAGTCATACAAATGATTTTAAAATCTATAATAATTAAACCATAAAATATTATATAAAACTATATATTTTCACTTGATGTGAGCATTATAGCCCTTTGTTTTACTGTAGTTGTAACCTGTACAATTGATCTCGTTCTGCATATTCAGTAATTGTTTGATGTCCTACCGTGTCATTTATCTTTGCATCGGTGCCCCAGATTGACTATTTTCTTTGTTGTTATAGGCCACATTTCAGAAAGGTTTTACATTGGTCAACAATCACTTCTATTTATATTATGCAATTTCCTTGAACATAAAACTGGTTCTAAATTAACCTTGCGTGCTTCTTGATTTCCATGTCATTTGACCTGAAATTCCTTCTTTCTTCACATTTCTCCTCTATTTTTGGTAGATGATTATTATATTGCATTTTCTCCTCATGTTTCCACTTTATTGCTTGCAGTCAGAACTCGAAAATCTGGCATTTATGTATACAAATGCTCAAGAATATGGTAAGGTTAGGAGAAGAATTTCAGAACTTTATAAAGAACACGAGAAAGAACTCGAAGAGGTAATTTTGCTTATTCTGTGATCTTATTGATACCAGGAGAAGTAGCTATCACTGTAGCATCCTCCAATATGTGATATTGCAGCAAGCAAATTTCGGATGCATTGGTGGATTTATGACTTTTGAGCTGTAATTTATTTCAGTGTAATCTACTGAACTCTTTTATTCTTCCGTTAGGCAAACAAAATATTAATGAAGAGGATTCAGGGCAATCAATTCCTAGATCTTATGACAGTGAAAACTGAAGTTCGATCTGTATGCAAGGAACCTTATAGGTGATCCTCAGACCCCTCTTTCTCTTGTTTCATATGCATTAATTTATTTGCATGTATGTTCGTCTTGGTGAGTGTGTGTTCTCTTTTTTGTTCTTTTAATTTTTAGTTACTTCCCTGTTGCGGAATAGCAACCCCCCTCCCCCACCCCCACCCACAGCCACAAACCATCATTCCCCGACCCCGTCTGTGGGGATAGAACTTGAACTATTAGATGTACAGAAACTTCACTTGTCAATACGGAATTATGTGTAGTGTGATAAAGATGTCTATGACTCCATATTCCCTTATTTATATGCAGCATCTATAAATCTGTACTTAAATCTAGAAGCTCGATAAATGAAGTCAACCAAATTGCGCAGGTACTGCCATCAGTTTTGGCAATCGTTTTGATGTGCCATTCTCTGTTACAATCTATCACTTGTTTGAATATTTTGGTTAACAGCTTCGAATAATTATAAAACCAAAGCCATGTGTTGAAGTTGGGCCTTTGTGTAGTGCACAGCAGGTAAATTGTTATCTAGTTTGAAGCATCTAATGTTGTTTTCAAATTACAGCCCTCTTGTATTTCTCTAACCAAAATTTCCTTTGTAGATATGCTACCATGTTCTTGGGCTAGTGCATGGAATTTGGACTCCTATTCCTAGAGCAGTATGTCTTGCAAATCCTTTTCTTCTAGTTTCGAGATCCTTTTATAACACATTGTTTTTGAGTCATATTGAGATGTCCTTTTTCTTTTTTGGGAAACAGATCAAGGACTACATTGCCACCCCAAAACCTAATGGCTATCAAAGTCTTCATACTACAGTTATACCATTTCTTTATGAGAGTATGTTTAGGCTGGAAGTTCAGGTTAGTCATTTCGAGTTTCTCTTATTTTATGCTCTATCACATGCATCATCTCACATGCATCATCTAAATGTCTATGATGTAATTCTGATTATTTGTTGCTTGTTATCTCACTATATATTTTACTTGCAAGGAAATCAATTTTTTCTTATATTATGTTGGTGGACAGATTAGAACTGAAGAGATGGATTTGATTGCTGAAAGAGGGATTGCTGCACATTATAGTGGGAAAATTTTTGTGAATGGCTTAGTTGGACATATGCCAAATGGCAGTAGCTCCAGAGGGAAAACAGTTTGCCTGAATAATGCCAATATTACCCAGAGGGTAGAATATGTTTTAACTCTATAGTTTCTCATATAAATAACATTCTTCTGTTAGGAGGTCTCATATTAAGTGCTTTTTTACTTGACTGCACCACTAATTCAACGGTGGAACTCTCTTTTGTCTTCAGATAGGCTGGCTCAATGCAATTAGGGAATGGCAAGAGGAGTTTGTCGGAAATATGAGCTCCAGAGAATTTGTTGACACTATCACCAGAGATCTTTTAGGCAGTCGCGTCTTTGTATTTACACCAAGAGGAGAGGTAAAACTGATAATTGGTATATACGGGAAAAGGAACTCAGTTTGGGATGCTTGTTTAGTTCTTCCATATTTCCTACAGATTAAAAATCTGCCTAAGGGAGCAACTGTCGTCGATTATGCATATATGATACACACTGAAATTGGCAACAAAATGGTGGCTGCAAAGGTAATGGTTCTCTAACAGGTGGATGTTTTGTTCTTTATGAGTTCTGGTTACACTGCTGCAGTTTTTTTCTCTCTGAATTCTGTTCTAAACACCAAAGTTTTCTTTTTGCAGGTCAATGGCAATCTTATCTCTCCAACGCATATGCTTGCTAATGCTGAAGTTGTGGAGATAATAACTTATAATGTTAGTTGATGTGAATTTTTTGACTTGTATTTACCCCCTTGTACATCTTATCTATTCCTTGCACAGTTTGCTGTGTATCAGCTATCATGTGTGGCCTACTTGATTAAACTTGTACATCTGCTAATTTCAAGTTTCATTTTTATGATATAAAGAGTTATGATGCTCGGATATTCCCATCTCAAATCAAATTCTCACATTCAGGTTCCTACTACATTTGGGAAGTTTTTCTATAGTCATTTTTGTTAGTCCATTATTTTCATTGAGCAGCTTGTGTTACTCGAGTGACATTTCCCTGTCTTCTTGAAGAGATTTCCTATTTCTGATTTTTGTTGTCTAATGGCAGAATATTTTCTCCAATTGTGTACCATTTCCTACCTGCTTACAAGTTTTTTCCTGTTTTAGGGGCTCTCGGGTAAATCTTCCTTCCAGAGACAGAAGCAGTGGCTACAATATGCAAAAACACGAAGTGCGCGGCATAAGATAATGAAGGTAGGTTTATATCTGTCTCATAACAATATACTAATTTACCAAGAAGCGGTGTTCGCTCTATTAACCTGGACATCATACCCTTCAGTTTCTAAAGGAACAAGCTGCCCTATCCGCAACTGAAATGACTGCTGATTCGATGAAGGAATTCACTGCTGAATCTGAACAGGACAGTGGAACGGAAGAGATTGTGGATTACTCTAAAGGGGCTAAACACACTTGGGAGAATATTTTGAAGAACATTGCACAAATGTCATCGTCGAAGGCAAGTTGTGAAGATATTTTTCAATTCAATAAGAGTGGCATTGAGATTCCGAAGGTTAACGGGAATCATAACAAGCACATGCAGCATGTGAGTTTGAAGGCCAATGAAGAAGTTTTATCTCAAGGCAATGGTGTAGCCAAGATGATTCTTGCCAACATTCCCATGTACAGGGAAGTCTTGCCTGGGTTAGACAGCTGGCGAGCTAGCGAGGTTGCTTCTTGGCACAACCTTCAAGGGCACTCTGTCCAGTGGTTTTGCATAGTTTGCACAGATCGAAGAGGTAATGTATTTCTATCCTACTTTTTGGTCTAAGCATGTTTGCTAAGCTTAAAAAGTTCACTCAAAATTAATGCCCTGTTTGATGGCCATTATTGTTGAAAATTGATGTTTTAAATAATGATTTTTTGAAGAATGTGGGGTTTTTAAGGAGGGAAAAGTTTTGGATTTAAGTGCAAATTTTTTTATTGTGTGAATGTGTAGTTGAAAATGAATATGAAAATTAAAGAATTTTGTTTTAAAGAGAGACAAATAGGGCTAATTAAATAAGTTCGTTTTAAAATAAATAATTATTTTGTGGGTCAAAATTTGAAAAAAGTAAACTATTTGTGTTGACAGTAACGTAAGACTTACTTTCGAAAATAGTAATTTTTTTTTTGCAATTCTTCATGTGTTTCTTATAAAAATCAAAATCAAGGAAACTTTGTTGCCGTTTCGGAAGAATATATAAATGATTTAATTTATAAATAGATAGAAATGAGAAATGTACAAGGGAATTTTAACTTGTCTGAAATACTTAATTCTCAACTCGCTGATTAGTCCTCTATTTATTCTGTTCAAAATTTTATAAATGACTGCCAGGTATGCTGGCAGACGTGACAGCAGCATTGGCAGCTGAGGGAATAACTATATGTTCTTGCACGGTAAGTTGAAACAAATTACATTGCTTTTATTATTGTATTTTTGATTTATTTTTTGTCATTCAATGTGGCAGGCTGAGATTGATAGGGGGAAGGGAATGGGGGTCGTGTTATTTCATATTGAAGCAAGCTTGGATAGTTTGGTATGCTTTTGGAACATGAATCTTCAAGTCGTTATTTTATTAGTAGAAAATATATAATTTATGCTTTATTTTCCCCTCCCAGATTAGTGCGTGCTCTAAGGTGGGTCTAATTCTTGGTGTTTTGGAATGGTCTACTGGGTGCAGCTGGTCGAGCTCAATGGAAAACCAGCAGTTTCTTGAATGTTAGTTACTGGTCCAAGTTAACTCGGCTACTCGAGCTGGGGAAAAGTTTTGTTCAGGAACCGGAGTTATTTTTTTGCTTAATTCGAGCAATTAGTTGGAAACTTGTTAGTAAATAAATCAGAAGCAAATAGGAGGAAGAAGACTGTATATAGAAAAGTATTATTATTATTATTTTTTGTTATATATATTTTCATTCATGGTCGACATTACACATGCAATAGAAGTCGAACAAAACGTTCTTGAACATATTTAAACGTTTATTTATTTATTTTGTTTGTATACTCTTATTTATAAAATAAAAAAACCTTGGAGCTAATGAATTGTGAGATTTTAACGCCTTTCCTTCACGCCTATATTAATTACAAAAGAATTTCTCTTGGTTTGAGTTGGACTACCTAAAGTGAATCGACCATCTAGTCGATATGTATACGTCACACTAAGTTCTATCTATTTTACCATGATATTTTTGTGTACGATATTAGAAAGAAGAAGAACAAAAAAACAAAAAAAGTAGCTAGTCTCTTCCTCGAAATATTAATTGCCACTAACGAGGATGCTATCATCTTCATATCATATATAAAGAGAAAATAGATGGATACCAAATTTATGGTGAATAGAAACAAAACAGATTACATAAGCTGAATGCGAATGCACCGTTTTACTGAATAAATCCACGGATGAATTTGTTCAGCAGATATAAATAGCAAAGACTTTTACAGATATTTCCAGCCTATACGCCATTTTTTCTTAACTCTACCAATCCTTTACATCATCATATTTAATCTCCAACTTTTACTTTGAATAAATTTCATATCGTTTTTAGATAAAAATAAATAATCAAGATACAAAAATTTGGATTACTCTTAATATTCTTCCATTCTTAACAAGATAAAAAAAAATGTAATGAGATTTATAATATATTTGGCCGTATTTTTAAATAATGGGCGTAACGAAATATATTGATAATAAGTGGGAAGTAGTCGTGAATCTACAAATGCCCTTAATGTTTAATTATTTAATTATTGGTGCAATATATATTTATTATTTTGATAACAAATAATTTATATTTGTAAATCTTTTGATTTACAAATATATGATTATATTTTGATCTCTTGTTTGATCTTAATAGAACTATTTGATGACGATGCATAGAAAATTGAAAGGGTGATTATATTCACTTATTATATCACATTTATTGCAATTTAAGTTTCGATCTTTGCTCAATTTTGCACTTTTGTTTTCGACTTTGTTCCTCGTAGTTTTATCATCAACCTACAATTGATGAGTACATCTAGTCTTTGATTACATTTTCAGTCCAAAAAGTCTACGAGACAGAATATGCTAATTAATGGAACGTTAAAGATAATAATGTAATAAAAAAAAGGTTGGAAACATAAATAAATACAAAGCTAAGCAAATATTACAGACTCTCGGTATAATTACCCAAACTGAAAACATATCAAAGCAAAATATAATTTCCTTTGCTTACCATTTTGTCCCCAGTTTTGAAAGAGTTAAGAGCAAATACCATAATTAGTAGCCAAAATTTGCAGTTCCATTATTAAAAAAATATTATCCAGTATCCGTTTTTACCTAATTTCTGAAAAAGTAAGGTTATTTACACTGAAATTCAAGAAAAAGTCACACATTTCATCCTCCTGCTGTGAATGGGCATCCCACTGTTGACTGTCCTCCACTTCTCAATAGTCATGCAAATCTCGTACCGTTCAAACGTTATTTGTACTCACTTCAATCTACTCTGCTGAACTTTACGACTCTCTTTTTTGTCTCTATCTTCCGTCTTTTTCATGTTTTCAATGGATTTTCTTCTATAAATAATGCTCACTGAAATTTAGTTCAGAAAAGTGTCTTCTCTTTCTTTCTCTCCTTGAAATCCATCATGACTAAATGCTTTGCTCTGCTTTTTTTCGTAGTTTTTTTTCAGTTTTTACTCATATCATCTGAAACTGAGTTTGAGAAAATTCAAACTTTCATTGTTGGAGTTCAGAATGATTTGAAACCTTCTCCTTTCTCTGATGTTGAACAGTGGTATAAATCCACTCTTCGAAGCCTTGGTTCATATACTGAATCCAGCCAAACAGAAAAAACCCAAGAGTTTCTGCATGTTTATAGAACAGTTTTCCATGGATTTTCTGCTAAACTCACCCCAGAACAAGCCCAAGAACTCAAAAATCGTCGAGAAATTCTCGCTGTTTTACCAGACCGCCTGCGCCAATTACATATAACTCGGTCACCTCACTTTCTTGGATTGTCCTCAATCAACCCTTCTGAATTGTTAACGGAGTCGGACTCGGGCTCTAATGTTATTATTGGGATCTTCGACACTGGAATATGGCCGGAACGACGGAGCTTCCATGATGAAGGACTTGGGCCGATTCCGGCTACCTGGAAAGGCGAGTGCACCGAGGGGGAAAATTTCACAAAAGCCAACTGCAACAAAAAAATAATTGGTGCTCGATATTTTACTGCCGGATATGAAGCCCATACTGGTGGAATTAATGACACTGAAGAAATTAAGTCTGCTAGAGATACAGAGGGCCATGGAACCCACACCACCTCCACCGCCGCTGGTAGAGCCGTGAGCAATGCCTCTCTTTTTGGTTACGCTCACGGCGTGGCGGTGGGAGTTGCACCGAAAGCTCGCGTTGCAGTGTATAAAATTTGCTGGAAAAATGGCTGCATGGATTCTGATATTCTCGCTGCCTTCGACAAAGCGGTGGAGGACGGCGTCAATATCATTTCAATTTCAGTTGGCGGTGGTGCCGAGCCATATAATGTGGACCCAATTTCAATCGGATCATTTGGTGCTATGGAGAAGGGTATTCTTGTCTCAGCATCGGCTGGCAATGAAGGTCCCAGTAAAATGACAGTCACAAATGTTGCTCCATGGATCACCACAGTAGGGGCTGGCACGATTGACAGGAAATTTCCAGCTGATCTTGTGCTTGAAGATGGGCGGGTGATCAACGGTGCATCAGTCTATGGCGGTCATCCTTTGCCTGAAAAGAATTATTTCCCCATTATTTACGCCGGAAACGCCTCAGCAAATTCGAGTAGCGGAGGTAGACGTGCTGGAAGTTTCATGGCCGCCACTTGCATGGCAAACTCACTTGACAAAGAATTAGTACGTGGCAAGATTGTGGTGTGTGACAGAGGCAGCACGACCCGCGTTTCGAAAGGTGAGGTTGTCAAGAAAGCTGGTGGCGCTGCCGTGGTGGTTGCCAATGTGGCACCAATCGGAGAAGGCCTCGTCGCTGATTCTCATCTGATTCCCGGCCTTGCTATTACCGAATCGGCCGGTCACACCGTTCGCAATTACATAAACTCCAACCCAAACCCAAGAGCAAAAATGATTTTTCGGGGGACTGTAATCGGAGTAAAACCGGCTCCTGTCGTTGCATCCTTCTCATCAAGAGGCCCCAGCATCGATTCCGTGCACGTGCTCAAGCCTGATGTCATTGCGCCAGGTGTAAACATTTTGGCAGCTTGGCCTGATGGCCTGTCACCGACTGAGCTAGCTTTTGACATCCGGCGCACTGAATTTAATATGGCTTCAGGGACATCAATGTCATGCCCGCATGTTTCCGGCGTAGCGGCTCTGCTGAAAGGGGCCCACCCCGACTGGTCACCTGCAATGGTTCGATCTGCGTTAATGACCACTGCTTACACTCAAGATCTTGAAGGGAATCCATTGCTTGATGAAAAATCTTACAATTTAGCAACAATATATGACATGGGAGCCGGGCATGTGAATCCTGAAAAGGCCGTTAATCCTGGTTTGGTTTATGATTTAACTGCAAATGATTATGTGGATTTTCTATGTGCATCAAATTTTACTCGGCGAGATGTTCGGCAGATTGCTAGGAGACCGGTGAGTTGCGGCAAGAAGCAATCTAAGCCGTGGAATTTCAATTATCCGGCAATTTCAATTGCTTTTGAAGCTTCTGAACCGTTGGATTCTATTGTTGTTTCTAGGACAGTGACACATGTTAGTGAGAATGGAGCTACCTATGGTGTTAGTGTGACAAATCCTAAAGGTGCGACTATGACAGTAACTCCATCAAAATTGGATTTTAAAATGAAGGGCGAAAAACAGAGTTACATGGTAAAGATCTCAGCAGAAAAGTTGACGGTGTCACCTGGGAATTCAGTGACGGAGGTGGGGAAGATAATTTGGTCAGATGGGCGGCACCAAGTGGTTTCGCCGGTGGTAGTGGTGTGGCGACAAGGGTATTAATTAGACTTCTTTGATACCCTTTGGTTATGTTATTTAGTTTCATAGTAGTTGTTTTGTGACACCAAAAAGATGTTATTACTTAACAGTATCGAAAGTGATTGATGCAAAGCCAAATATTGCGATGTTATAATGACTTATGCACATTTTTATTGATTGATGCAAAGCCAAATATTGCTATGTTATAATGACTTATGCACATTTTTATGTGCTATGGTTTAACTTTTTTATAATTCTCGAAACAATATTTTTGAATGGGTAGATAAACAAAATCTATTTCGTAAAAAGATGATATTACTATTAGAATATTTTGAAAGCAAAATCGTCGTTGGGATTTAACATTTTTCTTTCAAAGAGTTCCATCTTTGTAGTTAGGTTAATAAAATACTTTTGGATCTAGCAATGCTTGCATCACGAATATTGATTCTTACCATTATTTTATCGTTAGTTCTCCACTTCAATGCCATGTGCTTTATTCCACTTTATAGAAGAGAGAGACCGTTTGAGAGTGAAAAGCAAGGACAAGCAATAGAAATGATAGTCCCTCAGGCGTTCGTGCGAATTACTACTAAAAAATTGTGAGATCTTTAGTGAAAGAAGGACAATGACCATCCTATCCTGAAAGGAGGAATAGCGATAAACGTAAGGCCTTGTTGCTCATCCATACTTTTTGACATTTTTTAATGAATGACTTGATTTGTCAACATATTTCTATCAACACCTTAAATGTTAAATTAAAAAGGAAAAAAATACATAACTATAAGACTATAAAAATCACATCACATCTCACAACCAACAATCTTATAAAATACGTTCACAAATCAGATTGTAATTCAATATATTATTATATAATAATATATATAATTACAAAATAATATCATCATTGCCGCATTATTTACTCTCCTAACCCCGACCCCGACCCCGGCCCCCCAATAACACTATCTCTTCAATTACAAACTCTCTCTTTCTATAAATACATATTATCTTTCTATATACATATAAACACAAAATGAAAGCAACCATATTGAGATCTCTTGTGAGGAGGTGGTGGTACATTGGTGATGGTGGTGTGTTGCAGGTGATGTTGGAGCATTGGATTTAACTTGTGTGGTGGTGGTGGTGGTAATTGTGTTTAGGAAACAGATTTTGCACGGTGGCGGAGATGGTACATTGCAAGTGATGATAGTGCATCCGAGTTGATCTGTGTGGTGGTGGTGAGGTGGTAGCAATGTATTGGATACTGCGTGGTGGTGTGAACAAGTTTGTCTTCATTGTGATTGTCTGCAACAATGTCAATTTTGATTGTGACGGTATGTGACCAAGTCACTATTAATTTTGTCACATCGATCACAATGAACACAGATTTTGTCACAAGCTATCACAATTAACAAAAACTTGGTCACGGAAGGTCACCACAAATAAATTTGCGGACACTGTAGACCAGTATCACAATATATAGAGTCACAACCAATTAAAATTAACACAGATTTGATCACACTAAATCACAATAAATATAGGCTTGATCACATAGGATCACGTCAAATAAAACCACACACACCGCAAACTAGCATCACAACCCATCACCATCGTAACCCAAAACAGCTAGTCATAGATTGAACAATGAACACCCACCAACTCCTCTTCCAATGTATCACCATCACAACCACCTGCATTGTACCACCACTTGCAACACAATCCACCACCACCACCTCCTCCAATAATCACTAATACCACCAATGACCATACCCTCAATCTGTTGAGGAATTGAAGAATTATAGAGAGAGAAATGATAAAAATGGAGTTTTCATTTGTAAATGTTGAGAGAGAGAATTCCATCTTCAAATGTTGAAGAACGCGTGCATTTTAGTGAGAGAAAATGTGATGGTGCTTGAAGAGAGAGAATGAGTAAGAGTGATTGTTATGAAAATAATTTTAAATAGATCTCATTAAATAAACATAAAACGATTTTCATATTAATCAATTTAATAAATCTTCATTATCATTTGATTTGTGAAATTAAAACTAATTCTCCTTATTTTTGAATAGCACATTTTATATGTAGGATTTTTGGTAATTTTCCCATTAAAAAATATAATGGTAATTACTTAAAATAGTACTTTAAGTTTTAAACTTCCAAAATCAGATTGAAAGTTTAATATTTCCAAAATCAGATATTTTATAATAGATACAATTTTTTTATATTTAATTAAATATTAATAATAATATTATAAAAATTAATTTCCCCCAACCCTAAATCTATCCACCCTAACTAAACTAATCAATTTCTCTACACTCTCCACTCTCTCACCTCTCACCACCGTCCGCCGCCTCTCACACCACCCCCGCCCACCGCGTCCTCCCCTTCTCCCTCCCTCCCTGCCGGCGTACCGCATCGAAGCCCGGTTGCAGTGGCGCTGTCTTCTCTCATCTCGTCTCTGTCTTCTCTTATCGCGATGCCTTCTCTCCTCTTTC